AACTCTGTGTGCATTCTGTCAACCTGTCTCCTGTAACGTTTCCAGACCTGTGTTAGCATTTCAAGCTGTTTGACAGGTCACTATAACACTTGTCCCGACGCAGTGGCATTCCAAAGCCAACTTTGGCTCAAACAACTGTTTCAGCCATGGAATGCGAAGACGAACATTGGCAGAGGCTAGCATTTCGAATTATCTGGTCAGTACTAATACAATAGCCGGGAAATGGTTTTATAAGCCTCATAGGGCACAAACAAGCTAAGCAAGTTCATGGTTGTGATTACTGTTGATGGCAATACGGCCACAGCAACCACAGCTTGACAACTAGTTGCTTTTGGACACATAAAACTGGACTAATGCGACTTATTGCGATCGCCTCGGCAAATAGCAAAAGGCGTGGATTTGTATGATGCAACAAGGTCCGAAAAGCCGATAAGGGAATAATCTGGTGATGAGTCGCCAATATGTGCTTGTCTATGGAAGACGCAGGCGGCTTACACGAGCACGTATCGTCGTAGGTTGCTGGATTAACTTCGTGCTGAACCCAGTTTGATAAGTGTTTTTTCACTCTGGAATCCAAAGCCCGTTCGGTTCTGTCGATGTAACTGACACCGCAGTCACACACGAATTGGTAAATACAATGTGGTTTGGCGTCGACGGGTTAATCTTCCCTTAATTTAGGTAACAGCAACTTTCCAGTCCTGTTGATAATCACCACCTCCGCAGAACAGTAAGTACGCTGAATGAACGAGACTATGTATTTAGTTGTCCTTGTTGCGCCGTCACCATTGAAGGCGTCAACACCGTTTCTTTAGTCTGTCTAACCTGACAATCATTATATTATTATACACTTAGCTGCAGGTGGAAAACACAGCTATCGTGCGGCAATACAAAGAAGAAGAAAATTACTAGTGGCACGTCAGCTGAGTCCCCAGTAACGGATGGACATGTTTCCGGAGAGCTAACAGCAGGCTATCGTGCCGCAAAACGTTATGTTATGCCTAATGAATGCGATCGTGATCGGAGGGGGAGGCTAAACAGGAGGAAGATGGACAAAGGAACTCACAACACAAACGCCACTGGGGCCGGCTCTTCGCCATATCAGCAAGTGTGTCCAACCAAACGTGCTCATCATCCTTAGGACCCCAGCCAGGCAGTCGGGATGTGCCAACCGACGCCAACGAAGTGAGAGTTTTCATCTCTCTCGACCAAGTCATCACTTGGCCTCCCCTCCTCCACTTCCAAACGCACCCTCGGCGCGCCAACAATGCACGTCGCGGAAGTCGGTGTGCTGGCGTGTGCAGCACGTCGCCCAGCCATCGGAGCACGGTGCGTGATTTAATGATGCTGAGCGGTTCACTCGCTCTTCCTGCACCAAATACGTGACGCCGTGCACGCTCAGTGCTCACGCGGTGCTCCCACCAGACATCAGCTAAGCTGCGAAGGAAGCGAGGATCGAATGTGACGAGCCTCTTCATGTCTGTCGACCTGATGGGCCAGGTTTCACAACCACATAGGAGGGTTGAACAAACGGCTGCGTTATAAACTCTGCCCTTCAGGGCGAGAGTAATGTCGCGTCTGCGCCACAGGTAGCGGAGATTGTCAAACGCACCTGTCAAATGCACCCCGGTTCGTAACCCCATATTCGATCCTTCGGGCGCTAATATAGCTGCCCAGGTAGTTGAATTCCTGAACGACTTCTAGCAGATCACGACAAAGCGTTAGCGCTGGGGTGGGTCCCTGCCCATCATGGAGAAGTACATTGCATTTCAATGGAGCAAAGCATAGCCCAAAACGATAGACAATGCTAATCAGTCCAGTGCTGTTTGGCATGTTTGGGAGCTGTCACAGATTAGAGCAATATCGTCCGCATACTTCAAGTCAAGAAGTCGCTCACCGGGAAGTAGCTCCACAGCTTCTAGGTCGTGTCTAGCGAATGCTGTTTCCATGAATTCGTCAACTGCGAAGTTAAATAAGAAAGTTGACAGTGGGTAACCTTGTCTCACACCGCTGGTGATACTGAAGGGTGGCGGTAGTTTGCCAAAAACCCTCACTCTGCCCGAACTGTGCTCCTACAGCGCATTGGTAATATTTACATATGTATCAGGCACACTTTCCTCAGCAGACAATCCCGGAGGGCACGTGGATCGACTTAGTAGAATGCACCTTTTATGTCAAGAAACACGACAACGGTGGGTCGCCAATAAACATGACGGTACTCCAACAAGTGACACAAGATGTGGTCAATGCAGCGACGATCTCGACGAAACCCAACTTGCTCCTCACGGATCTGGCTTTCACGAGTGCCACTCAGTCTGTGGAGAACGACAGATGTTGTAGCGAGAACGACAAGGTAGGGGAGAACGCTGTTTATTGCACGCTGAGAGGTTCACACACATGTCCCACGCACACACACAAATATAGCCGCGTTTCCCACTTGCGACGCACCACGTTCCGCCGAGTGAAGTGGTGTCCACTAAGCGCCATTAGGCTGATCCGACGTGGACATTGAATGTGCCGTTTTCCGCCCACATTGCTGCTCCCTAGCGTCGCAGCCTATCCAGACTGGATTCGTACCAAAGCTCTCGACTTGTTTGCTCGGGGCTGTGTTGCTCTGGTCGGGCCGATTCCTGGGGCCGTAGATAAAGGCATATCTCTTGGGAAAATCGGGCTCCCTTTCCTGTCGCCCCTTGTTTTTCTCGGCGTGGCCGCGGTATCGTTTGTCGCTGACGACCCATTTCCGGCTTGCATCGTAGGCCACGAGCTGGGTAGACGATTCCCGTTCTCAGTCTCCGCGTTAGTCCCGATCTCCTGCTGCTTCCGGGACATTTCCGTGTGAACTGAGATCCGCGTCCCTACACCCGCCCCCTCTCGAAAACCTGTTTCCCTCGTATACCATGAGCGTAGAAGAGATGCGTTTACCCAGCGTTTCAGCACCCCGTTGTCGATACGGCAGCTCGTCCCTTTTCGGTCGATCACTGTATAGGGACCTTTCCAGCGTTGGTTGAACTTGCTCGCGCCAGGTCCTTTGTGTGACGGTGGATCGTTATTGCGTAGCTTGACTTGGTCTCCTAGGTTGAATGGTATCCATTTGTCTGCCGCATATCTCGCATCATAGTTCCGCTTGTTGCGTAATTGCCGAGCCCTCGTTTCCCTTCTGGCGATTGTTGTCAGCCTTCGGTGTTGTAGGGCTGGATGTTCGCGCTCGCAGTCGATTGCCAAATAGGTGTCAATTGCAATCCTTGGTTCTCTGCCAAATTGCAATGCAAACGGTGAAACCTTGGTGCTTGATTGCATGCTGGTTCGATAAGCGTCATAGAAGAACGAGAACTCGAACCGACTTGACATAATTTGGTAGATAAATTACGGACATATTTGGGTTAATACATTGTATCACATCTCCACTTGTCTCACTGACACTGTTTCCCTTTGGTTTATCGAGACTCCAGCTCTTCTTAGTCGCGGCCCGAAACAGTTCACTGCCGCTTGAGATGGTCAGCCAATACAAATGCATTTCCCATGGGATTGCAGCAGAGGGCGAGAGTCCCTGTACGTTCGTTAAGGCTAGGGGTCATCAAAGTAACGCCTGCGACGTCACCATTGTACCAGAATTAATTTGATAAATCGTATGAAGCACGAGACGCTATGATATTATTTACATCGTTCGTGACCTTACGCTGTTTGAACACTAACCTGTGATTCCATGGTTTTTACAGGTGAGAAAGTACTATCGTACAATAAGTGACCCCATATAGTTGGAACACTGCTGTGAGTGATCACACATGAAACCAATTCATCCGTGCACCCTAACATGTTTCTATGCAGCTGACAAATTTGTGTCACAATATTGGGATTGGTTCGATCACTTGCAGCACGCGCCATATATAACGCCGCCACTTTATGCACGTGTCATTTTGGAGCCATAATTGGAAGAAACTGCAGGTTGATAATACGGAATCGCGCTAGATGCGCAACTTGTTGACGTTCATACAGTATGCTGTTACTAATTGCAAGTACCCCAACGGCCCATGATCCCCTTTTCTAGATGTTTCAACTGAAGCTCTGTGATGTTGGTTATTCAACATCTTTATTTTGTTCGGATCCCATTTATTTCTGCCTTTACCTTACCTATGGAGGAGAGAAAAGAGTACACCAAGTGTCGCGTTTTCATTCTCTTTTTTCTCGAAGTTTTCCTGCTGACCCAATTTTTGTGCATAGTGATTATAGGGCCCACGCTAATCATTTTGTTGGCTATGCGCATTAGCCATATTTCCAGTATTCCGCTCCGCTCCGCGCCAGTCAGTTTTTCCTAGTTATCCCGCCTGTCGTGAAAAATGTTTGGTGACCCTTGGTTAAGAGCATCAGCACTGTGATTCAGTGTCTTCGGTCTTGGGCGTGCAGTTGAACGGAACGCAAGTGTTCTCGATACATCCGTTGGACAACTGTAACTGAATGCAAAAGAACAATTCTGTATGGGGTCTAAAAGTAGAGATGGTTCCATTTCCAGGACTGGTAGATAAGGGTCTTCAATTGAAGCGAATTCCACAAGTCGCGTCTCCACTCCGTTGGCGGTAGACTTCGGCAAACTTGTTCTTTGGGTCACAACCAGGGTGCGCTGAGCACGATAACCGATGTTCATATATGCATGGGATATCGTAATTTTTACCCAAATTCACCGATGCCGAAACTGTTCCCAAGTGCATAGAGCTTCTCTTGACTATTTTCTGACATCATCTCAACTATGCACTTACAATCCGTAATCCTGTAGAATAAGACGACCCTAACGGTTTTAAGGTGCGGGAAGCTAAGCACGTTACTGATTAGAATTGTCAACACAAGGAACAACTGCGTTACTCACTTAACGCTTTCAGTTCTTATGGCTTGGGCGAAAGTACCGTAACAAATGTCCGTACTTGCCGTTTGCTTTTTTTCGCAGGCGCAAAAACTATGGCAGTAACCCAACAACTGGAAACAAATGTGCGTAGGCCATGGACGCCCTTAAAATGACCGTCCTCGTGATGTGCCAGAACGCTGGGTGGCGTCAGCATGCGGAATCACCCAGTAGACAGGTTCATCCAAGGCGCACTGACCTAGAGGGCCAGTCGTTGCAACGCGGGAACATATCGACCGACCAACGGGTGGACAGTATGTAACGTCAATCCGATTGGCCGGCGATGGGGACGAGAAGAAAACATGCAAACTGTCAAGTTAGACGTTTGTCGCGGACGCGTCATTCTCCGAATGGTGCATTGGCATTTACACGTGCTCGACTGTCTTTGTGGTGAGTCGATTAGATGGGTGTTAATCATGAAATTGGTGCTTATTCAATATAGATTCAGTCACTCATTTTTTCTACCTAATCAGTGGCCTTCCGTTTGTAAAGGGGTTAAGCAGCCAATCAAGGTATCATGGAAATTTCAGCAACTTCCATTAATATGCGTGCTTGGCTGTGCTTATACCTCGGCTAAAAGCGTAATTCTGATCACATATAACTGTCCTAGCGATTAGCACCGAAGGGCGGTTCACCATGTCTTGCTTCGTTTTCTTGTTGGAGATGTGTAGCGAGGGACAAGGTCTCGCCGTGGAATCACCATCATCCATCGTGACGGCGAACTTGCGTATGAAAAATTTCGGGAGAAGTTGCTAACTACTAGAAGCCCGCTGAAATGTTGGTGACCATTCGAAGACGGCAACTTTGGGCTTTTGGGAGCCTCTAAAGGGGATGAGTTGCTAGACTGCTTAACCTCCATTACTGAACAGAAAAGGTCTATTCGGGTGTTCGCAGATGTACAACACTATTCCTTGGCTACTTAGTTTACAGAGAGGAAAATTGAACCGGCGATTAGTCATGAACCGACAGACAGTTATCGCACTACACTGTACCTCAGGTCACTCGAAGCAGTTTTATGCTGGGATAGCCGCATCGCTGTTCTATAGAACCCAGACCTTGTGCAGCATGGAAGATGGCTGATTTGTGGCACAAAAGGGGCGATCTGTAAACTACTAGATAGCTGGTTAAAAGTCGGTTGCCTAAATTGCTGGACCCAGAGTCAAAACTCACGCCGGAGTGAACTTTAACGATAGGAGTTTCAAGCGAAGAAGAAACGAAGGAATGCGCTGAGCAAGGACAATATGAAGATGATTTGTTCTTGCTGTCAAACACTATGTCTTACGCTGAATCATTTGGACAATGAACGTTGAACATGGTTAAACACTGACAAAAAAACAATGAAGTAGCGGGAAGCACAAAATGCTCATGGTGTAAGGTACCTATTCAAGCGATCTACACGTCTTCCTCCTAAGCGTCTACCGACGAAACGTTGAAATGATGTTCTGTTAGTGGCAAGTAGTTATACTTCAGTCTCCCGCTGCATGATGATGGTGGGAAATTGGATTTCCTTGTTAGTGTGCAAACAGTGTGAGGATTAGCAGTTAGATGTTACATACTCGCGATGGTGCAGTCTACGACCGTGCAAAAGATTTGCTTTAAATGTACTCACCAATACAAGTCACCCTCTTCATAATGCACTGAGTAGGTATCAACTTCCCCTACCGGATAAAAGTATAGATCCAATTACACTCGTACACGTGCTTACCACATCTTTAACACTATATTTGGCGCACTTTTGTACGACCAAACCTCAGTTGTTCTGGAGTTCACTATCATGATTGAATTATAGCCATATTGCTGTGTCTATCAATTATTAACCTACTTGTGTATTCACTATTTTAACTTTTATCCTGTTTATGATGCTGAAGTGGTGTGTGTAACAGTTATTCACCCTTCTAGGTGCATGAAGCTCTTTCTTGCATTGAATTTTGCATTTAATTACACTTATTTGCGGTGCAAACAAGTGTGAATCGAGTCATGGAGTGCAGTGTTTCCAGCGGATAACACTTACCCGCTTTATTTACGGTCCCAGTGACTGATTTGAGCAAGATTCGCTCCATTGCGGGTTGCAATCCATTTTGAGACTGCGTGTCGCAAACCATTCACGCAAAGAGGGTTTCATGATGGCCCTTCCAATGAGTATGTGAGTTCGGTTATGGTTATCACATCCTGTGAAAAAACCAAAAACGCTCACTCATATACTATTTTTCTTGTACTCATGCGCAAGATAAATCCAGTGAGAGCAATTCATAATTGGATTTTACAGTATCACGGATACTGGTTGCCATGACCAATATCCGCCCATTTTTGAGACAGGGGAGAAAACAACCGAGTTTTGTATCGAGTTTCAGGGTTTGCAGGGTTTGCAAACCCAGCGGGAAAAGAATCCCGTCGGCACGCTTAACCAATTTGTTACATCTGAGGCTAGTAGTATGCCTGACCTTCAACAAATCTAGTCACACTTGCTTGAGGTAAATATCTTTAAACTAGTATGAAGCCTCTGTGTAGCCGTCAGTTGCGTACACTGAAAATTCACACTACCTTCCGCATGTGGGGGTAAGGCAGGTTTCGTAGACACTTGATGCATTTTACCCTGCTTCTTGGAGTCTATTACTCGGAGGTCGCGCTTCAACTAAGATTACCAAGCTTGGATAACACATTCAACGTGAGGTTCCACCTAAGGGTCGCGCATCATCTGTAAGGTAGATGGGACCAAACTTCCGTAGCTTCACTTTCTACTGATAAGATAAGCAATTGCGTCTATAGACGTACATGTGATCACTGTGCCCAAAATTGTAGTTTACTACCACCGCGAACCGCTTTTGACCACCTAAAGTTATTACGATGCTCGGTCACAGTGGTGCATGGGCTATACAGAAGGTGTCAACTCGACTGGGATTAACCCTGAGACGACTAGGATGGGTATGCGAGCAATATACCAGTAGCTGCTAGCCAAGACATCAAAAATCGCCGAAGCCAACAGTTGCGCGAATGGAATGGGGGACGAGTGGAACCCTCGAGTACGTGGCGCGCATTCTTGATACGGCCAGTCCAACGAAGGTAGTTGCGCAGATCAGGTTGGAAGACCATATCGACTCCACATTCCCACCACCCACTTCGCCAACTGGGAAACACCGGGAATCTCCTCAATGAGACTGAACTAATTGTGATGACATCTAGACAGCAATTCTGTTCCCGTCAAGTATAAAATACCACTCCATTCATATATTGATTCACTTGATCTGACGAAGCCCGCGTGACGAATGCGAAACGTTGCCCACCCACTGGCCTGTCGTTTCCAACCCCTTCTGGATCCATGACTTTCCGATCGGTTTTAAGTACAGTCCACTATTGCGAAGCCCATTGCTGCTTGCTCGTGATCTCACCCCTAGGATGTGAATACTCTGTTGAATGTAATGGTTTCCTCCCTCACGGTTACCGATCAGGTCACAGCTGAAGCATTACTGGTGTTCTGTCCACACCTTAAGGCGTCAAGGAAGGTGATTATTGACTTTCCCAACTGCAACGTGAGTAAACTACATCTAATGGTTGGGTTTACCACAGCCCAATCAAGGGGAACTTTCTATCTTTCACGACGCTTTTAGCGACAGGGCTTTAACTACCCTTGTAGTATAGAACTTACCTCATGCTGAGGCTGATGTTGCATTCTTGACGCTTCTTCAACGCAGTTGGGCTAAACCAACGTACACTTAAACTAGGTATTTTTAAGCTGGATAAATTTCATTGCATTATTTGGTTTGTTTAGCAAAATGAAACCCGAGGATTCAGTACTACCACGGTTATACGGCCTACCTAAAGTACACAAAAATGGGGTACCGCTTCGTCCTATCGTGTCATTACCCAGGGCACCAAATTACAAGCTGTCTAAGGAACATTGGAAACGTTTGAAACAGCTAATCGCAGGCTCAGCGCACTCAATCCAATCGGCGGAACAATTCCTTAAAACACCTAAGGGAATAACAATAGAAAGAGACGAGATAATGGTCTCATTTGACGTTACAGCTTTGTTCACATCAATTGACACGACCCTGGCGAGGCAAACAAGGAGGACTCTGCTTGAACAACACGGAGCAGTAAATACCAGCAACCGAATTGAAGCCACACAAATGATGGAGTTGCTTGACTTCTGTCTCACCACACATTTCACTTTCAATGGTCAAATGTACAAACAGATAACGGGTACGCCAATGGGATCGCCAATCTCTGGACTGGTAGCGGAAGCAGTGATGCAAAGCTTGGAACAGAAGACATTGCCAATAGTGGGGCCAAAAGTTTGGGTACGTTACGTAGCCGATACTTTTGTCATCTTCAAATGCTCCGGACTACAAGAAACACATCAACTAAGCACCAATATTTTTCCGGCATCCATTTCACCAAAGAGGAAGAGAACAATGATCACTTGCCATTCTTGAACGTGCTCGTGAGAAGACATGCTTCTGGGTCACTGGAAACAACAGTTTATCGGAAAACGATCCACACCGATCAGATCTTAAACTATCGCAGTAACCACCCGAGCATATACAAGCGAAGTTGCGTGAGGACGCTTTTCAAACGGGCCCAGACACATTGTAGCACGCCTTAACTGAGGAAGGCGGAGGAGGGACACTTATTTAGCATGTTTCAGCGAAATTCGTACCCTAGAAGCTTTATTCTACGCTGCCTGATATCGATGAGCCAGTCACAATCTGCGTCCACATGTGCAACAGAAAGAAGAATGATTATCCTACCTTACATTCATGGGATTTCTGAAACGGCAGGGAGGCTTCTAATGCCTCACGGGATAACTGTTGCACGCGATGCAACGGAAACCATACGAAGTAAACTTTTTAAGGTGAAGGACAAACTGTCTAAGAAAGAAACATCGGGTGTAGTTTACAAAATTCCCTGCAAGTAATGTGACAAGTACTATGTAGGCCAGACTGGAAGAAAACTTGGCGCAAGACTGTATGAACGTAGTCTGACCATCCGCCGCCACGATGAGAAATCCTTAATGTCAGTACACATGGATGCCGAGAACCATCATTTCGATCTGGAGAACGTTGAAATACTGGAAGAGTAAGAAACCGCAGTGCGCGTGAGTTCCTCGAGGCCTGGCATTCTGGCCGGAACTCAATCAAAAAACACCTGGAGCTGGAGGGTATGAAGCTCTGCAGGTCAAGCCATCATTAGGCACCAGATCGACAAGGAGAAGATGTGTCCACTCGACCGACTGACGTGAACCGATCAAAGGCTGATATTGGAAGCAGGCAACTATCAATAGTCATTCGGATCTGGCAATGGTTTACTAGACTCCGCGAATCAGGACTGAATAGCCGCACTGAAGATGTTGCCTAGTTTGGTAACGAAACGTCTGCAACAGAAATGCCCGG